AAAGAGAAGGGTTAGCTGTTAAGGTAACATAGTTTGCACCAAGTTTTCTGTATCACCTTTTTTACTTACATACATTTAATTTGATTGAAAAAAATACCCAATGCTTTGTGTATATGGTGCACAGTTCTAGATCTTTTAGGATAGAAGCTGAATAAGCCTTCCCTGTCCTGAGGAAGCTTACATTCCAGTGGAAGAATAAGAAAAATGCACACAAAGGATAAGGTTCGGAAAAGAGGTCTTCCAAGAAAAGACTTAGGGATAATCCAGGAAGACTTCTTGGAAACAGTAGCATAGGTATATGAGGAAATCTAGTCTACTTTTCAACCCTTATACCAAACTCTCTGGATTTAAATTTTTGATCTGCTACTTACTAGCTGCTGATCTGGGCTACCATTTTGTGACTCAGTTTTTTCATCTATAAAGTGAAGATAACGTCAGATCATACCTCACAGAGATGTGAGAATCAAATAAATTACTTGCTGCAGAAGGCTTCACGCAGGGCCTTTCCAATAGTTTGGGATGATGGGGAACCCAGGGAAAGGCTTTAAGTGGAAGGACAGATCAAGTCAGTGTATTAGATCATATTGGCTGCTGAGTGAGGATGGACTAGAGGGCAAAAGAATGGAGATCATGAAGGAGGAGATGGTTGCAGGAATTGAGGTGAAAGGGCCTGAGCTTGAGGCCTGGCATAGAGGATTGGTAGGAGTGGGCAAGTGTGAGTGATAGTACAGATGGGATCCAAGGATAGGGTATGGATGCTGGTCAGATGGGCCTAAGCCAGGGCGAGAAGGAAGAGATGTTATGAAAATTGACTTGGCAACTATCAGGGACAGGAATAGTTTGATGATATTCGTGCTTGAGGATTTTGTCATATAACCTTCCTGATGCTTATCAGCAGATTTCTTACATGGCCTAGGTATTCTGGAGTAAAGGGTTGTAGGAAGGGCACTCAGTTTGACTAGGGAAGAGAAAGCAGATTGCTTTGGGTCTTCATGTAACCCAGGATAATGCTGAGGGGCAGGATGTAGAAGACTACATCTGAGAGGGTAGGTAGAAAGCTTTCCTGGGCTAGAGTGAATGTGAAGTCTGTTACAAAAGCTTAGGTGGTGGTGTCCAGAGAATGTGGTGGTTATAAACTGAATTCAAAAGTTTCCCATTTATTCATATACTGACTTCCACATCAATTGGACCTCCAAAATAGTTTAGAGGGCTTTTAGAGTAACCACTTCAGAGTTTAATAACAGAGAAAGAAAGTGGATAGTGTAGCAAGATAGGGAAAGATCGTTTTCTTTGAGACTTGAAAAGCACTACAGAGGAGATGACAAAGCACATGTTTACAGACTGATTTTCTGGTGCCGCTTCATGTATAATGTAAGAAGCTTACAACAGTAGGTTTCTATTTTCCACCTTCTTGTTCTTTGTGCTATTATTGTCACAGGTTTTACTTCAGTATATATTATAAACTCTAAAGTATTTTGCTTTTACATCAATTATCTTTTAAAGAAATTAAAAAAGAGAAACATTATTTTATATTTATGAACATAATATATTCTTGCCAGTGCTTTTCATTCCTTTGTGTAGATCTGAGATTCCACCTGGAATCATTTTCCTTCTACCTGAAGTACTTCCTTTAACATTTCTATTAATGCTGGTGTGCTTGCAGTGACTTCTTTCAGCTTTTGTTCACCTGAAAATATCTTTATCTTTAGTTTTCTAAAAGGGTGTATTTTTGCTGGATGTGGGATTCTAGGTTGATTTTCCAGTCCCACTGTAAGCACTTTAAAGATGCTCCATTGTTCTTTGGTTTGAGTTGTTCTGATGGGAAGCCAGACAGAAAACGTCATTTTTCCCCCTGTATTAAATGTATCTTTTATTTCTGTATGCTTTTAAGATTTCTCTTTAAAATTGGTTTTTGGCAATTTGTTTTAGTTTTTCTTTGTGTTTATTTCATTGAGTTCACCAATATTCTTAAATATATGAGTTTATATTTTTCATCCAGTATGGCAAAAAAATTAGTAATATTTTTCCAAAATTTTTTTTTTGCCTCGCTCTTCTGGGAATCTACTTACTTATATTTTAGATTGCCCGATACCAGCCCACACTGAGAGAGACTCTGCTTATTTTCCTCTACTCTGGTTGGATAGCGCTCAAATGTCTTTTCCCTGTACATGACCTGTGGTTGTTATTTAGTTTTGTATTCATAGCATTTATTCTCTCCCTGGTAGTTGATCTTTGACTGGTCTTGTAGAATGTCACTTTGCATAGGCACAGCTTAGCAATCAGCTAAAGATTCAAGACGACATGTATGCAGATTTTTGAAACTCTTTTTCCCTCATCACTCCCTTCTTTTTGGTACTCTGCTCCACAACTTGTAAACATCTTGGCCTTCTGAACTCTTATGTCTGTCTCCTAAAACTTAATGAGACCACACTATCCTGCTTGAGAACTTTCTCCCTCAATCATAGTCTGGAAGTGCCCTCAGGGAGAAATCTGGGATTATTGCAGGGCTCTTCTCATTTTGCTCTTATCTCAGAGATCACAGGCATGCTCTTCCTTCCTTCCAGTGTCTTAGAACAGGCATTTCCTATAATTTGTCCAGTTTCCTAGTTGTTCATGGCACTATTCAAAGTGCTGGGATTACAGGCATGAACCACCACACCCGTTCAGTTTACTAATTTTGTTTGCTAATTTGTTTACTATTTTTTGTTTACCTTTATTCCTAATAGACATTTAAGAATAAATGCTTTGGTACTGCTTTAGCTGCATTTTACTTTAATATGTTTTTAATATGTGGTATACTTGTAATAGTTTAGTTCTGAATATTTTCTACTTTTCAGAGGTATTTAGGAAGTTTTGTTATTTTTGAATGTTCAAATCAATGAGGTTTTGTATTGTCTTTTTATTCTTGATTTCTAATTTAATTGCATTTGGGCCAGAAAACATGACCTATATGATAGTATCCTTTGTTGTTTCTTGATCTTTTTTATGGCTTAGAATGGCTTAGCTGTTTTTTGTGCTCTTAAATTTCACTATGATGTTTCTAGATATGGTTTTATTTTAATTTATCCATATTGGGTCACATTTTCCATTCTGGAAAATTTAAAGTGATCTCCTTACTGTCCATCTCCCCTTGCTATTATGTCCATCTGGAACCCCTCTTAGATTTATATTGTGCCTTCCAACTTAGTCCTTCATGTCTCATAACCTCTTGTTTCATATTTTCCATCCTATTTTCTCTTACGGCATGGTAAATTTCCTCATAGCTTTATCTCATTTACTAATTTCCTCATCTGGTGTTTCTAATACATTGTTCAACCCATCTTTTAAAAATTAATTTCATTGGATATATCTATTTATATAATTTCAGATTCATCTTTTTCCACATTTATTTGAAGTTCTTGGGGGTTTTATACTGCCAGGGTATGATGGATTTTTTGGGACTGATTATTTCCTTTTGTATTTTCTGATTTTGAATGGTGAGCTCATCTTCAGCAGTGCCTTATCTGTGGAAAATCTGTGGAATCTGTCTTTAGAGAGTATCTCTTCAGAAAGGGTTTATCTTTGCTTTTTCTGGAACCTCAAAGTTGATTCACTATGGTGGTGTCTTTTCTCCTTCACCTAGAGAACATGCTGAGACAGGCAAGCTTCCTGTTTTCTTCTTTTGTTGGTGGGAGGATTTTTGTTTTCAATGTAATGTTAGCCTTTGGGGGTCCTGGCTACATGTAGGGAGACATGGTGAGTTTAGTTCCACTTCCCTGTTCAGATGATTTTTTATGCAGTATATATTTTTTCTGTGTAATGTTAGCCTCTGGAAGTTCTGGCTATACACAGGGAGAGGTGGTGAGTTTTAGTTTCACTTCCCTGTTCGGGTTATTTTTTATCTAAGAGAGCATTAATGCCAAGCACAGGTTCATGTTTTGTGCTCAGTACCTTTCCAGTGTTTGACTCCCTGAGCTTTCCCTTACTTAGAGAACATTTAAAGGATGTTTGCTATATTTTATATCACTTTTTGGTGACACATATGCATTGAGATGCCATTGACATCTACCTTGAGGCTTTGGCCTTGAGGTGATGTGTGAGTCTAATTGTACAACTCAAAGCAGAGGACTTTGGTGATTTCAGGGCCATTGTTTCATATGCCAAGGATTTCTGTGAACATCAACAATAATGCAGATTTTCCCTTTTGTGGCATGGGCATGAAGCTTTCAAACTGCATCTGTCTTCATTTCCTTAAATTTTCTCAAAGTTAGTGAAAGTTAAATAAATTTAAGGACATACAATTAAACCTACAAATATTTGTTTCTTCGGATTAAGTGATATAACCACAGAATGCTTTTGTAACTTTTACAAATATATTCTTCGTTTATAATGTTATTGTCAAAAATATTCATTGGGGGTTGTACAACAAAGCAAGTCTTCAACATCTACATAACATACAAAAGTGTTATTGGTGCTTAATGAAATTCTGTCTTTTTTTTTTTTAATTCAACAACAGAAATTTATTTTCTTACAGTTCTGGAGGCTAGGCAGCTATGTTCAAGGTTCCAGATGATTCACTTCCTGGCTTGTAGAAGTCTTTCTTGTTTCCATGTCTTTGTATGTCATCATATGGCTTTTCTTACTATATGTGTGTGTTGGAGTGGGGAAATATCACTCTTTGATATTTCCTTTTAAAAAGACACTAATCCTGTCAAATCAGTATCCACCCTTATGACTTCACTTAGTCTTACTTTACATCTTTAGGGGTCTCATTTTTAAATACAGTTTCATTGGGAGTTAGGCCTTCAACACATGAATTTTGAGGAAACACAAACCTTCAGTTCATAACAACCACCTTATGTTCTAAAAATCTAACAGGTCCTTGTAATGACTGTAAACGAAGTAGGCATTCCTTGAGGGAAAAGTGTTATGCAATTGAGAATTTTGATTAGTCTTATTGCTTTACTGTGATTCACCATATATTGATTTCTTAGTAAAATGTTGATTCACTTTGTTTTCAGGAGTCTTCCTTGTACCACTGATTAATGAACAAAGATGAGTGAGGAAAAGAGAAAAGGTATGCATTAATAACTGACTGACATTTCTCTCAAAGCCCTCTCCCTTGTCCTCTGTTCCCATTTCACATCTAGCAACATCCTGCTTCCTCAAGGAAGCCTAACTCACTCAGAGAAATATGAACAGACACTTTTCAAAAGAAGACATTTATGAGGCCAACAAAAATATTAAAAAATGCTCATCATCACTGGTCGTTAAAGAAATGCAAATCAAAACCACATGGAAATATCATCTCACACCAGTTAGGATGGCAATCATTAAAAAATCAGGAGACAAACACCACATGTTCTCACTCATAAGTGGGTGTTGAACAATGAGAACACATGGACACAGGGAGAGGAGCATCACACACTGGGGTCTGTGGTGGGGAACTGGGGGGGGGACAGTGGGGAGTGGGGAGTTGGGGAGGGATAACATGGGGAGAAATGTCAGATATAGGTGAGAGGAGGAAGACAGCAAACTACATTGCCATGTATGTGCCTATGCAACAATCTTCCATGTTCTTCACATGTACCCCAAAACCTAAAATGCAATAAAATATATTTTTAAAAAATCAGGAGACAAACAGATGCTGGAGAGGATGTGGAGAAATAGGAACACTTTTATATTGCTGCTGGGAGTATAAATTAGTTCAACCATTGTGGAAGAGAGTGTGGCAGTTCTTCAAGGATCTAGAAACAGGAATTCCATTTAACCCAGCAATCCCATTACTGGGTATATACCAAAAGGATTATAAATCATTCTGTTATAAAGACACATGCAGACATATGTTCATTGTGGCATTGTTTACAATAGCAAAGACCTGGGACAAACCCAAATGCCCATCAATGATAGACTGGACAAAGAAAATGTGGCAGATAAACACCATGGAATACTATGCAGCCATAAAAAAGGATGAGTTTATGTCCTTTGTAGGGACATGGGTGAATCTGGAAACCATCATTCTTAGCAAACTGATACAAGAACAGAAAACCAAACACCACATGTTCTCACTCATAGGCGGGTATAGAACACATGGACACAGGGAGGGGAGCATCATACACTGGGGTCTGTTGTGGGGGTAGGGGAGGGACAGCAGGAGTGGGGAGGTGGGGAGGGATAACATGGGGAGAAATGCCAGATACAGGTGACGGGGGAATGGAGGCAGCAAATCACCTTGCCATGTATGTACCTATGCAACAATCCTACATGATCTGCATATGTACCCCAGAACCTAAAGTACAATAAAAAAGTGTGGTTTCTCCAGTGGTTTTCTTCATAACCGGCAGCCCAACTCTATAATACTTAGCACATTACCTATTTACCTAACAGCCTTCTTTCTCAAACTGTGTCTTTCATGCCTTGCACAGTGCCTGCCTAGAGCTAATTCTAAATAAATGGTTATCAAATAACTGACAAGTATACAATCCCTGATATGTTTTGAGCCTTGGCTTGCCTACAGCTTAAATTTGCTTATGTTTGAGAAGATATATTAACTTATTTTTTCATATCGGACTTCTAAAATAAATTTAAGTTGCACTGATCAGAAAGCTTTTGTCAAAAGTTTTCAGTATGCTCTGTGGTTTTTAAAAGTTAAAAAAACTCAATTAACATTTTACTGTTCAGTCTTCTGAAAAGCATCATTGGCTTTTCAGAGCCTCTTGAGTAATTATAGACCATTTAGAAATAATTTTATTTTATCAGAAATACTCTTGTTAAAACAGGTAATAATATGCGGTGAAACAAAGACCCAGCATTAAATTCAAATTAATTTGGACTTACTTTATGTAATTCTTAGGCCACTGTGCCAGTTACTGTGCTGGGTTTTGTTCTGGAAGAGACGAAGCGACAGATATGGTCCCTACCCTCAAGGGCCCCAGGCAAAGGGAGATGAAGTTGGCTTTCATTTCCTTATTTTAATAATGATTATTATTGTTGCTCTATGGGTAATCAAGGGACTGGATTTTTGCTCAAATATTGACACTAACTTCTCCCTTTCTCTCTTCTCACCTTCTATTGTTCCATCATCTGAATTCCCTGCCTGACCCTTGCCATTAGTAAGGCTGATGGGTTTTCTTTTTCTCATTTAGGGATAAATCTGATGAATCCCAAAAGTCAAAGAAGTTCCAATTGGATGCTATCTTGACAAGACTGTGCACAATACTGCAAACTCATGGCTATCCTGTAAAAGGAGGCAAATATAAAACATCACAAGGCACTGCTACCCTTTTACAGAAGGGAAAAGGTTTGATTTGTTCAGCCTGTGCCATCCGTATAGATTTTCAATTAGCCACATTGGAAATTAGCTGTGAGTGGGGCAACTTGGTCTCTCACTTTATTTCAGTCATTTTCTGGGAGGAATTAATTATTAGAGGAACTCTTGAAGTACCTTCTAATACACATATAGTTTGTTTCTTTCCATTCACAAGTTCGTATATAGTTGAGACTTAAAACGTGATTGAGATTTATGCAAAAGTGGACCAAGGAAATGAAAATTAATAGAAGCATATGTGGGAAATAATGCAGATTTCTGTATCTTAAGCACTTAAAGGCATGTGTAAATATTGCTGAGGGAAACATGGCCCCGAGGTTGTAAAATATTACCTGTAATATTTTAAGGTTTAACTTAGCAGGTTTAACTCAACACATCTGAGTGGATCATTCCCGTAAATACATAAATAAGCTGTAATAATCTCTTACCTTAAATTTTTTGACCCCATGATACCTCTGGGTATTACCCTATTTCTGTGCCCTCCTTCACAGAAAAACTTTCTGAAATGATTTTATAGGCCCTGTCTCCACTGGCTCACATCCCATTCTTTCTTCAACCCACCTCACTGAGGCTTTAGCTCCTACCATTCTAATACAAGTACTTTTGTCAGGATACCAGTAACCTTCACATTGCTGAATTATTTGGTCCTTTGACTGTACTCATCTTTCTTTTTTTCTATAGTGAAGTATTTACCTCTTCATTTTAATCAAGTGATTAGAAAATACATGAACAAATAATACATGGGGCAGATAAGTGTGGTGAAAAGAGAGTTGGTTTGGATGAGAGTTGAGAATTCTGGCCTCATTTTGAGTGAATTGGATAATTTTCCACACTTGTAGACTTTTCAGAAACGTTGGACATGTGACCACTCCCTGCTTTTTGAAACACTTTTCTCTCTGGGACAGCACAATCACCAGGTTTCTTTTCTGGTTCACTGGAGTATTAGTCGAATTTCATGCTGTTGATAAAGACATACCTGAGCCTGGCCAAATTACAAATAAAAAAGGTTTAATTGGACTTACAGTTCCATGTGGCTGGGGAAACCTCACAGTCATGATGGAAAGTGAGACACATCTTACATCGCAGCAGGCAAAACAGAGAATCAGAGCCGAGTGAAATGGGTTTCCCCTTATCAAACCATCAACTCTCATGAGGTTCATTCACTACCATGATAACAGTATGGGAGAAACTGCCCCCATGACTCAATTATCTCCCACCAGGCCCCTCCCTCAAACACGTGAGAATTATGGGAGTACAATTTAAGATGAAATTTGGGTGGGGACACAGAGCCAAACCTTATGAATTGGCCACTCCTTCTCTGTGTACTTTTACTTCTTCCTCCCCTTTCAACTTCTAAACATGGGTGTGCCATGGCTCAGTCCTTGGACTTTTTCCTCTTTTATATTTACACAGTACTCATTTTCCACGTTATCTCATCTATTCCTTTGATTTGAAGTGTTATGTAGATGTCAGTGACCTCCACTTTTAAAATTTATCTCCAGCCCTGAACTCCTTCTTGAGCTCCATACCTGAGAATCGCATTTATTATAAAATCATCAAAAGAGTTTTCTACATGATGTCTTCGCTTGGATATTAAACAGAGAGGTTAACATGGCCATAAAGGAACTCTTGATCCTCCTCCACTGGATTGCCTGTCTCATCCGCACTTCTGGTTCTCTTCATATCAATAACTGGCAACCACCAGTTACTCTCCCAGCTGCACAAGCACAAAGTCTAGAAATCATTCTTGTTTCCTCCACTTCGTTTACCATCTTATCCAATTCCTCTGAATTTTTTTTAGCTTCTACATCTGCAATATGTTTCATATCTCTACATTTTTCACCATTTGTGTAGCCTTGATATACCACCCAAATCCAGGCCACCATCATCTCTTACTTTTTTTCTTTTTCTTTTTTAAATTGACCAATAAAAATGGTGTGGATTTATGGCATAGAACATGGTGTTTTGATATATGTATACATTGTAGAGTGGCTAAATCAGCTAATTGACATATCTATTATCTCACATACTTACCTTTTTCTGATAAGACCACATAAAATCTACTCTTTTAGCAATTCTCAAGTGTAAAATATACTGTTATTTGCTATAGTAACCATGACGTGGAATAGAGATCTTGAACTTATTCTAACTGAAATTTTGTGTTCTTTGTCCAGCATCTCCCCATTCCCTCATCTCTTACTTTTGATGAAGGTTCATAGCTAGATTCTGCTTCTACCTTTGCTCCCCACTTTATTCTGTTTGCAACAGATAGTCGTAGGGATCTTGTAAAAACCTACCATGTCACTCTCCTGCTTAAAAGCACTTCATGGGCTGGGCTCAGTGGCTCACGCCTGTAATCCCAGCACTTTAGGAGGACAAGATGGGTGGATCACCTGAGGTCAGGAGTTCAAGACCAACCTGGCTAACATGGTGAAACCCCGTCTCTACTAAAAATACTAAAAATTAGCTGGGTGTGGTGGCAGGCACCTGTAGTCCCAGCTACTCGGGAGGCTGAGACAGGAGAATGGCTTGAACCCAGGAGCCGGAGGTTGCAGTGAGCTGAGGTTGTGCCACTGCACTCCAGCCTGGGAGACAGAGCCAGACTCTGTCTCAAAATAATAATAATTAAAAGCACTTCATGTTTCACTCTGAATAAAATATCAGTTTCTTGCCATATACCCTACATGATCTGGCCCTTCTTATCTCTCAGGCTTCATTTCTTACTACTTTACTCCCTGGTCATCCCACTGCAGCCACTCCGGGATCCTTTCTTCTCTTTGAATAGGGAAAATTATTTTCTGCTTCATGTTGCACTTACTGCTTCATCTCCCTGAGATGGTTTGGTCCCATGTCTTTACATGGTTGCTTTCTTGTCAATCAAATCTGACAAACAGCTCAGATGTTACTTTCCTAGTAAGGCTTTTCTTGGTCACTCGTTCTTACCAATTATTGTACGTGCAGATATCTGAAACTGTCTATGTGTTGATTATCTGTTCACACCACTCCATCAGTCTGTAAGATACAAAAGAACAGTCACCTTGTTTTTCTTGTTTATACTGTATCCTGAACCTCTAAAGCCGAATATGACCCATAGCAGGAGCTCTGTAAACATTTGTTAAATAAATGAATAAAAGAGGCCCAGTTTAACAACAAGCACTGAATCCCTGATATGACTTAAGTACCATGTCAGATATTGGGGACATGATGAAGAATTTGTATGATACACACTATAGAGGGTAAACAAAAACAAGTTCGTGGGTAATAGTAAAGTAGAAAAGTCCTTTGTGGTTTATTTATAAAATACACTGGTTATTCTTTCTTGGCAATATATGGACCCCCCATTGTTTTATTTCTTTGAATGAAGTATAGGAGATGAAAGTTATTAAATGGAACTGGAAAGCAATGGATAAATTTCTTCAGAAATTGACTATGGAAGAGTGTCATGGGTTGTTTCCTGAATTTAAAGAGCTGTGCCTAGAATTGAGTCTCCAAACTGGGACAGTGGTCAGGATCACTGATCTTGAAGCATTTATGCAGTTGGCATGGTTTACTTTTCATGTTACTCCTATTTCACACCCAGTTACATACCCTATTTTTTAAATTGTACTTTAAGGTCTGGGGTACATGTGCAGAACTTGCAGGATTGTTGCACAGATACATACATGCCATGGTGGTTTGCTTCTTCCATCCTCCCGTCACCTACGTCAGGCATTTCTCCCAATGTTATCCCTCTCCAACCTCCCCACTCCCAGCTATCCCTCCCCATCCCTCCACACCCCAACACACTCCATTGTGTGATGCTCCCCTCCCTGTGTCCATGTGTTCTCATTGTTCAACACCCACCTGTGAGTGAGAACATGCAGTTCCACACCCTATTTTGATTCCCTCATCAGTGAGGGCTCTAAAGCTCTCCTTATTCATGGCCTCCCTCTTACCCAACTCTACTCTTAGAAAAGGGTCAAAGACTCATGCCTGTCAAGAAAGCAATAGCCACTGTCAAAATTATCCTTGTCATAGGATTTAACACTTTTAATGGAGATCAAAGTTGTATGAGATGGGTTTCATTTTTCTGCAAAAAGAAGGAACTAATGTTTATTGACATGAAGCGTTAAAATAACTTGAGATTGGAGGGCTGTGTTAGTGAAATCCCTTTGCTAGTGAAATTAGTGGAGTAGGTGGAGTTGAGGAGGTAGAGAGGGGCACATGTTGACAGCAAAGACGATGCACAGCAGCAGAAACACTTCCCATTGGGGAAACCAGAAAACCTTGAAGAATGTGATAGGACAGATGGGGAGGGGTCAGTACCAGTAGCTTTGAAAAGTTAAAAGATAAGGCTTGAAGATATTCTATTCAAGGGCCTTGCTTAAAGCTTAAATAGGTTAAAGTAAACAGTGAAGTTCCATAATTTAGTCAAGATTAGGGAAGGGCTTTGGGGGTCTGGATTTGCTTAGAGCCCTCAACTTACCTGGCAGATTATGGATACTGGGTTTTGGTAGAACTTGAGAACAAAAAAAGAACTAGAAATTGAAAAATCATAAAATTTTTGGACAGGTCATAATGTGTGTGGCAGAAATTGAATTGGATGATCTTCAAAGTCTTTTTCAATTCCAAACACTTCTGTTTTTATGATCATTTATATATAATTAGTTAGTCAACATCAGATCCTTCATTAGCACTCAGCATTTGCTCGAGTCTTTTCTAAAAATTAAGTATAACTTTGAAAAACCTAATACCCATAGCTAATTATTTTAATATGACACTGTTCTGTCCTTTCTTCTTTTTTTCTATAAAGATAAAGTCAATCCAGAAAGCTCTCAAAAGAAATCATTTGATACCTATGATGACTCCAACCAAATGATGCTTCAGGTAAGAGGGCTTTTGTTCTTTGATTACTTCATATGTTGAATTCATATAATAGACGACAAAGAATAGTGTTTGTCAAAGTGTGATTAGGAGATCATATGCATCAGAATCACCCAGGGAACTTGATAAAAATACAGATTACTGGGCCCTAACTTAAATCGTCTGAATCAGAATCTCAAACCTGTGAGGGCCAGGAGTTTGTATTTCTCTCAGGCTCCCCAGATGCTGCTTATGCCAACTGAGTTTTGAGAACCACTGATTTTGAGTTACAACAAACAAGTCTCTGCATAGGTTAGTGGCAAGTTAAGTGGTTGTCTAGTAGACCCATTCAACATAGACTGCTGTACTCTAATGAATTAGCCTTTAGGTAGTTTTCTCCCCCTCAAGAATGTAAGGCGTTTATAGTTCCTATCTCCAAGAGAACCAGTTAGTTTCACGAGCCACAAGCACCCCGAACGACCACAGTCCTTTGAGGCGGACAGATAAGGATACAGATTTTGCTTTTATTACTTACTTGCTGTGTGTCTTGACTGAGTTATCATCTCTGAGCCTTGATTTCTTTCTCTATCTAAAATGGGTAAAAAATTTTATCTTTATCTCACTGAGATTATGTGAGAATAAAATAAAGTAAACATGTATGAAAATTTATAGTACACTGTTTGATACACATTAGATGCCCAGAAATTATAAGTCCAGTCCCTTTTTCCCTTTGGTACTGGCTGACCACCCAGCACTATGACCATTAGTGGTCATAATGGGGTTTGAGAAAGGCATTGTGTGAGTGAATCTTTTCAAACCTATCCCAATGTTAGAGGCAAAATTCTACTAACTGAATGAGTGGAGCCATATTTTAATACTCTACTTCATCTTTCTTCCTTTCAAGCAACAGGCTCTCACTTTTTTTTTTTTTGAGACAGGGTCTCACTCTGTCATCCAGGTTGGAGTGCAGTTGTATGATCATGGCTCACTGCAGCCTCAAACTCCGGGCCCCAAGCGATCCTCCCACCTCAGCCCCCGAAGTAGCTGGGACCAGAGGTGCACACTGCCATGCTCAGCTAATTATTTTTTTATTATTCTTTATAGAGATAAGATGTCACTATGTCACTCAGGCTGGTTTCCTGAGCTCCTGGGCTCAAGCAATCCATCTTGGCCTCCCAAAATACTGGGATTACAGGCATGAGCCACTGTACCTGGCCCTCTCTCAATTTTATTAGAAGTTTTGTTTTAGGGATCTTATACATAAATATTTGCTAAATAGAGGACTTAAAATGTGTTATGTGAAATCGTGTTACTAATTTTATGAAACCAGATGCTTATTTGAAATATTTTAGGAGCTAGACAAAGTATAAGTATCCCATACAGGGATAGTTATGTTCACAACTACGGAATATAAGACATTCAACTGAAAGGATCAGAATATCTTGGGTAATTCCCTCCTTTTCACTTTTTTCGCCTCCATTAGGCTTTACTAATTTCTCTGGAAAAGCCTGTTCCTTATTCATGAAGTCTTTTCTCATAAGCTATCTCAGTCTGGCTAATCAGAGCTGACTTTAAGCAGAGAGATGGAAACGTCAGGGAATCTGAAAAGAGAGACAATAGAGGCTCTTTGTCTTTACTTTCCAGTTTCATTACAGCTGTGGCCATTCTTTTGAAGCATGAAAGACAGTGGAGTTTGGAGAGCACGAGAGTGAAGTGGCTTTGTTCCTTATGGCTTGTATTTTAGAGCAATGACTTAGCTTTGGATGTTTCCTTCCTGTTTGCCATACTGTTGGTCAAATGTAACAGCCTCTTGACATCTGCCTAACAACCTACACAGTGATCTCATATAGAGTAGCTAATTTCATCCTCACAAGAAGCTTATGATTAACTTAATAATGATGTCAATCCCTCTTACTGTAGGAAAGAGGAGACCAAAGCTGGGAGAACTTGTGCCTTGCCCAAATCCAAGACTGTTGAGTAGCACAGCTGAGTAGTACACCATGTTTTCTCACCCACACACCAGCCCATAGGGGTCTGGACTAACTCAGAGCAAACCATCTCAGTAGAGAATGTGGTAATCAAAATGCCAAAAGCAAGCAGATATACAAAAAGTGAGTAGAGGAGCAGAGCGCTTTACCAGATCTGCCCAGACTCTTTTCTGAACCTATGTGTTTGGAAGTTCACTTCAGGCATGTGGCAGTTTTGGATGTCATCTTTTGATGTCTAATAGGAAATAGCAAACACCCAATTTTAAAAGCTTTTGCTTAAAATTGTATCTTACAAAAATGTATATAACATATATGAACAGTTTAAAACAAACTACAGGTAACACTGAGCTTAAGAAATAGAGCATTATCAGATCCTTTGAAACTCCTTTGCCATAATCTTCTTCTTCTACCCCACTTCTTTCCTACCATTTCCTGAATTCTGTGTTGATCTTCCTTTGCTTTGCTTTGTATTTTTAGGACATGTGTATGCATCTCTAAGTGATATGTTGTTTTCTTTTGCATTATGTTCACCTTTATATAAATGGAATTATACTGTATGTATTCTTCTCTGACTTGATATTTTTGCTCAACCTTTCTTTTTCGATTCATCCATGATGGTGCATGTAAATCTAGTGCATTCATTTTTACTTCTGTATTCTTGTTAGAACAAACTACACAATTACTTACCCATTCTACTGTTGATAGGCCCCTGAAATCTGTTTTAGCTCATGCTCCTTAGGAAGTAGAGGATGAAGCAAAACTGATATGCTAAGGTTTTAGTGGGATATGCAATCTCAGGATAGTGAGGGTGAGGGGAAAAGTAAGGCAAAGAAGAAGGGAATTGAAATACAGGGTGGTTTATTACGAAACTAGATACAGCTTCACAAGAACACACAGTGGGTTGTTCAGTCACTCTTAAACTATATAAAAGGCACCAAACCTTGGAATAGTCTGTATAGGAGAAGAAGGGAAAATATTGTGTCTACCACTTCCTTTCTATCTCCTGTCATTAGTCAAAAGTCACATGGATGTTTACATTCTGCCCTTTGGGTTATCTGGCTTTTCTGGAAACCCACTGTGGTACCCAGATCCCATGCCCTGAGGTGGATGAAGTTTACGGCTTTCATGAATCCGGTCACTTTGGATGGATACTGAAGCCCCCTCCTGCTGGTGCAGTTAGGAGACTAGACTGGGGCTGCAAAAGCAGAGCTAACATCCCTGGCTTGATTGAAGGTGGGATGGGGTATGAATCTTGAAGAGGCGCATGAACTGGGTTTGGTATAGCTGTAGGTTTTTATTACTGTGAGCAGTTCTGGTTTGAACATTTTTGTTCATATATCCTCTTCCATATAAGCAAGAGTGTTTCTAGGTGTCTATCTAGGAGTGAGATTGCTGGAGGGTGGGGTGGAGTGATAGGCTGGCTTCCCTCTACATGAAAGTGGCAAATTGCTTTTCAAGTGGCTGTGTTTCACTGTGTGTTTTACTATTCATTTCTATTCCCAGTAGTATGGATGAAAGTTCTTATTACTCCACATCATTGCTAATAATTTATTGTCTAATTTTTAAATTTTTGTCAATTAGGTGGGAATGGAATGGTGCCTTGTTTCGTTACAAATGACAATGAGCATGTTTCCACAAATTTTGAGGCCATTTGTGTTTCTTCTTCTGTAAGATGCTTGTTTCTAGCCTTTGCTCAGTTTCTTATGGTATTGTTCTTTCTAAGTATTCATATGTTGGAGATTTTTAAAATAGATTCTGGAAACAAATCACTTGCTAGTTATGTGTTGCAAATTTCTTGTGCTAGTTTGTAGCTTATCCTTTCACCATTTAAAATGACTTAACAAACAGAAATTATTAATTTTAAAGTAATCAAATTTACCAGTCAAAGGGTGTTTATTTTCTTGTTTAAGAAATCCTTACCTACCACAAGGTAATATATTACCTTATATTTTATTTTAAAAGCTTTAACATTTTATCTATTATATTTAATGTGTTTATACTCTTTGAGTTCATATGAAAGAGAAACATTACAAAGATAAGAGAATATTTTAAACTAATGATTCTGTTCCTCAATGGTGATGTGATTGATCATATTTTCTACTTTTTTCCAAGTCACTTTTTGTAATTTATGTTTTTCTAAGAATTGCTTTCAAATTTATTGCCATAAAGTTGTTCATAATTTTCTCTTTTGATCTTCATGTCTAAAGCTTCTGTAATGATATCCACTTTTCACTACTAATGATTCATATTACCAGAGATTTGTCAATTTTAATGTTCTTTTCAAAGAATTGACTTTTAACTTCCTTGATTCTCTCCATTGTGTCTTTAATTTTTTATTTTATTAATTTCTGCTTTTAGTTTTATTATTTACTTATTCTACTTTTTTGGGTTCATATTTTTGTTCTCTAACAATTTTAGATTATTTAATTCATTGATTTGTCACCAGTTTTCTTTTCTAATATGTACATTTAAGCAAACATTTCCAAGTGTTGTTTTAGCTGCATTTCACAGTTCTTGATAAGTAGTGTTTAAAAACTATTTTATTATAAATACTTTCTAATCTCCATAATAACGTATTATTTGTCCTGTTATTTATTGTGGTAAAATTTGTATAACATGAATTTATCACTTTAATCACTTTTAAATGTGGAGTTCAATGGCATTAAGTACATTCACATTTTGTGCAACCATCACCACCATCCATTTCCAGCTTTTAAAGCTTGCATAACTGAAACTGTGTACTCAAACAGTAACTCCTCATTCTCATTTTCTCCACGTTCTTGGTAGCCACCATTCTACTTCCTGCATCTATCAATCAATTTGGCTATCCTGGGAACTTAATATAAATGGAATCATACAGTAATGTCCTTTGGTGACGTGTTTCACTTAGCGTAATATCTTCATGTTTCATCCATGTCGTAGAGTGTGGCAAAATTCTCTTTCCTTTTAAGACTGAACAATATTTCATTGTTTGTTACACATTTTGGTTATCCATTCATCAGTTGGACATTTAGATTGTTTACACCTTTTGGCCATTATGAATAATGCTTCTGAGAGCATAGGTGTACACATATCTGTTTGAGCCCCTGCTTTCAGGATTTTTTTTTTTTGGTATATACCCAGAAGTGGAAATGCTGACTAACATGATAGTCCTGTGTTTAGTTATTTGAGAGACGGCTATAGAGTTTTCTATAGCAGCTTTGCCATTTTACACTATGACCAATAGTGCATAGGGGTTTCAATTTCTTCATATCCTATCCCAAAACTTTCTGTTTTGTTTTAATCATAGCCCATCCTAATGGGTTTGAGGATTTCATGACATTATCCAAATGTAGAATCCTGCTTGCAATTATTTGGGCTTCCTGAATATTAAGATTGGTGTATTTTATTACTTCTGGATAATTTTCGACCTATATCTCATTGAGTGTATCTTCTTATCTGATATATTACTTCCTTCTGGAACGCTGATCAAACATATGGTGGACTTTCTCATTCTCTTCTCGGTGAAATTAAATTATCTTATTTTCCATTTGTATGTCTTTTAGTGTTACATTCTGAGCCATTTCTTCAGCTCTTCCCAGTTCAAAAATTTTATTTCTGGCTGTGTTCTAACATACTATTTAATGTATACATTAAGTATCTAATTTTGATGGTAATATCATTTATAGATATTTTGTTTGATTATGTTTTAAATCTCATTAGTCAGTTTTGATCTCTTGTTTCTTCATATTTGTAGCGTCCTTTGTTATTTATTTAAGCCTATTAAGCATACTTATTTTGTATTCTGTATCTGATAATTTCAATATCTGTTATTTTTAAAATATGAGTCTGGATTTTATTATGTCTATTGCCTCTTGTTTGTAATGTTTCAACTCTTCTTGTGTTTTATTTTTTATTATAAGCTCATATTATTTGAAACTTTATCTGCCGGAATTCTTTGAACACTCATTTTAAAATAATTTTCTAGATGTGATTTTGATTTCCTTTTGTTAGACATATTGGGTCACTACCACATTAAACTAAATATTAGACTTTGATTGTTGAGGTCCACACAGGTAGTGTATGAATTTTACCTCCAAGTTTGTGTGAGGGTGGGCTGCTGTTTAGCACCTCTTAAAGTTGGCTATTTTCTCTTTTCTTACTCTTCCCAGGACTGAAGCTGAGGCAGCCATGCACATTCCCTGTCTCCTTTCATTCATTGGATAAGATTTTTCTGTTTCACCTGTTGAAGGTGTCACCCTTTTGGAGACCTGGCTTTATGTTGTAATCTTTGATTTCACCTCCTACCTTGTACAGGCCTCAGCTTTGCTTTTGTCCCCTAAACTTTAGGCCATTAGTGTTGGGAAGCTAGTCTTAAGGCAAATACAGGATCTGATATTCTCTGATGTCATAATTCTCACAATGTAGCCATTTTTGATACCAGATTATTTCCCTTACTTTACCAATAGCTTGGTTCTGTTTTGAAAAATAAGTTGTATTCATTATTTTATATATTCTCTACCAGGAGACATTTGTCTGGCTATTGAATCCATTATATAGCAGGGAAGTGATGGGCATATCCATATTCATAAGGAGATGACTAACCTAACCACAAAGAAAAGTGTCCTTAAAATATTTTTAACATTTTTGAAATTAAGTGTTCTAAAAGTAAAACAACCTACACACAGAAATGGATATTCTTGGCTTGTGTTAGAGAATTTCATGTTAATTGGGTGTATATTGAAATTTGTTTGTTCAAATGACACATCATTTGATAAACATTTCATGCTTAAGGTTAAGTAGATTCTGTGTAGGAGGCAGAATAATGGAATTTTAATTAAGTCTGTGCCTACTTTATTGACATTTAAGGACTGCAATACATTTTCAGTGTGCTATTATGATTATTATGCATTTAGAAATAAAGCTATCATTTTATTATTGTTCCACTATTTAATTACATTATTATTCTCCCATCATTAGTCATTAGATGGCTTTATGATTACACTGAGCACAGATGGAGTGATCATTTATGTGGATGAAAACATCTCTCCTCTTCTTGGACATATGCCAGTAAGTTCTTCCTACTTTTGGGAAAGTGGATCATTCTAGTTTGTTGTTTAGGGGTTTATTATTTATTTTCAGGAGCATAAAACTCATCACAGAAGATGTTTTCAACGTTGTCAAAACGTGCCCCTGTTTTATTGTCATTTCCATTGGTTTCAGAATACTATAGATTGAGTGTCTTTATAAACAACACAAATTTATATTTTACAGTTTTAGAATCTGAGAAGTCCAAGATCAAGGTGCCAACAGATTTGGTGTCTAGTGAAGGCCTACTCTCTGGTTCAGAGACATCTCTATTCTTACTATAACCTCACATGGTAGAAGAAGCAAGGGAGCTCTTTGGGGTCTTATTTATTTATTTATTTATTTATTTATTTATCGAGATGGAGTCTTGCTCTGTCACCCAGGCTGGAGTGCAGTGGTGCGATCTTGGCTCACTGCAACCTCCGCCTCCCGGGTTCAAGTGATTCTCCTGCCTCAGCATCCCGAGTAGCTGGGATTACAGGCACGCACCACCACATCTGGCTAATTTTTATGTTTTTAGTAGAGACGAAGTTTCACCATGTTGATCAGGCTGATCTCAAACTCCTGACCTCAAGTGATTTGCCCATCTTGGCCTCCCAAAGTTCTGGGATTACAGCCGTGAGCTACCATGCCCAGCCTAGAGGTCTCTTTTATAAGGACACTAATCCCATTAATCATCTCCAAAAGCTCCACCTCTTAATATAATACCATCACATTGAGAGTCAGATTATTTCAATATATAAAGTTTTGGTGGACATAAACATTTAGTCTGTAGCAAGGCCTTCATATTCCACTTATATATGTGTTTGAACAGGGGTTACCTATAATACATTTACCAACAACAGTCCTCCCAAACAAACTGTCTGCCATTGGCATGGTTGTGTTAACAAAAGGTTTTGGGAGAGGATATGAAGAAATTGAAACCCTATGCACTATTGGTGGTAGTGTAAAACAATCATATCTCTGTTGTTGTTTTACATATTCCTTATTCGACAGAGTTGTCTCAAGAACTTGACAAACCCTGATCCAGAGATCTATAGTACTCAAGTTTGGAATGTGGAAATTAATAGAAGCTAGGTTAGATTATCCTGTAGTTAGGTTGGAAGTGGATTAAAAACATTTCACTAGTTTAGCCAGGCCAGTTGGCATGTTCTGTAGCCTTTTTGGAAACTCACAGCCTTTATACCCTTTTAAAAAAACTTGCAGATGCTAGAATCAATCTCTTTTATTTCTAATTCTCTTTCATTCTTTAAAAAAACAGTTTACATTTCCAAATTCAGCTTATATTTGTAGGATACGAAAACAGCTGAGTAAAATGCAAATGGTAGAGATATTTATCGGATTGCACTTTAGTTTATTTAAATCACAGAAAGGCAATAATCTTTGAAAATCTATATTAAAAGAATGAATGTATGATTATGATCCATTACAGCTTAAATTTTATTATAATGAAGACCAGAAAACTACCCAAATTCTTGTGGCATCAGATATTGCATAAACCAAATTGGTCATTGACTGAGACTGGTGACTTTTTCTTATTATGCAAGGATTTTTTTTATAGTGATGCTGTTAGTTGAATGAATAAAGTGGTGACTGTTATCATCACCATCATGGTATTAAACTTTTATCCATCATCAAACTTTTATCCATGCCACCATATTTTCCCAATTGTTGATTTCATTCAGTTTTTTTTCCTTTGGAAAAACTCAGTCATTTGTAGTAGTAAGTTCTAGTCACTGCGCTCTGTTCTTAGTAGCCTGCCCTCCTACTCACCCTACTCCATCATTCCCCCCCCAAAATAAAATCAAATCTGGGGGTTTACATATATTTATTTTCTTTTGCAGTTACTCACTGTACTAATATTTGTGTGACAACTAATAGGTATTTACAAACTTTGCTTTTGAAAAACCACCTTAATTTTTTGATTGTATTTATCCTTGCTTCATTAGGCTGTAAGTACCTTGATCTCTCTGCCTTGTATAATAAGAAAAGCAAATGCTAAAAACTTAGAAAAGTAACATGAGGTTGATCATGCTTTCAGGTCTTTGGCCTTTTTGTAACTAAGGAACAGAGTCACTGGAACAGGTCCACTGTTTCAATTGGTGGTTAATTATAAGGCTTATTGTCATTATTCCTATCTCTAGACAACCAATAAGAAACTCATTACCACTAGTCACATCCAAGAGAATGTGAACTATCAAAAGATAGCTCACTTTGAAGTCTTTTAAGGGACAATCCTATCTACATTTTAAAACTAGTGAAAAAACTTATGAGACATAGCACTTTGTATCTTGTTATGGTATTACTTTATATTTTGCATCATAATTGATTGTGCATATTTAATCTGCCCTACTAGACTATGTGCTCATTGGAATTTGTTGTCAGTTTCAACTTATGTAACCCTTATAAAAACTAAGTATAAAATCTTATTCAATGAATAACTTCATGTAGAATGTCCAAAATATAGGAACTGGTCTAGTAGCAAATTTTCTGTTCCTGATGCAAATTGGACTTGTGGCAGCTATGGTGTAGTGGAAAGGACATAGGCATGGAATTGGATGGAGCTTTCATGTTAATTTCATTTCTGCATTTCTGAACTCTCAACAATTGGACGAGCCTTAATTTCTTGATAAATAAGACAAAGGGTAGTTCTTCCTTTTCCAGGGGATTAAGTGAGCTTGTATATGTGAACATACCTAGAACAGTGACTGGCATGGAGCAACATTTTATCATGTGTTAGATGAGTGAATGAATGAGTGGTCTCCACAGGGATAACCTAGTTTGGCATCTAGAGTCTATTTTATAACTAAACCAATGAAAGCATTTTTATTGAGAAAGTTAAATTTAGTAAAAAAAAAAATCTACATTTATTTTGGGAAGTCAGTATTTTACTGTGTGACTTTCACTGTCAACATATATTACCTGTTAATTTCATAATGTTTTGTTTGCCAGATTAAGGTAACATATCCATCCTTAATCACGCCAAGCTTGATTGAGACAGCATCCATCTGCTAATTTGAGCACTGAACAGTTCATAGGCTGGCTTCTACAAATAGGCCATGAAGATATATTTCAAAATATTTATTGTAGATTATGAATACTAATCAGTTAAAAAATCATTGCAATTTGTGATTCATCACACAAAGCCATTATTCAGCTACAAAGAATGCTTTATTACTTTGTTGCTATCACATTAAAAGCTCATTACTTCTGTATCTGATATTCAATCTATCCACACCTCACCATATTTCAACTACATGATACAGTATTATTCACTCATTCAACCAATACTTACTGAGTGCTTACTAGTGCCAAGCTCTGTTCTAGGTGTTGAGGATGTAGCAGCAAGAAAGTCAGACAAGGTCTCTGTTATAATGTAATTGACATTTTAATGGGGAAGGCAGATAATAAACATAACAAAAAAGGTAATAAGAGAATATCAAGGAATTGGTGCTATTTAAAATACTTTTGAGTAAAGACCTGCAGTAAGTGAGGGAGAAAGCCATTGCAAATATTTGGGAACGAGTGCTTCACATTGAATGAGGAGTTAGTTTAAGGGCTATGAGATGAGTATTTGCTTTCATTGTGTTTGTATGTGAATTAGGAGTTAGGTGTACCTGGAGTGCAGTGAGCAACAGAGAGAGAGAGTAAGAGCAGATAAGGTCAATAGCAGCAAGGAATCAGAACATAGAATGGTGAAAGCCCTTATAAAGACTTTGGCTTTTATTCAGAATGACTTGGATAACCAGTGGAAATTTTTGAGTAAGCAGAGGAATAGCATAATGTGACTTATGTTTTGAAAGGATCACACTGGGTGTTCTATAGAGAATGGAGTGGTGGCAGGGGCATGGCAAGAATAGATGCAGGGAGATCAGTTACAACTACTGCAGTAATCCAAACTGGAAATGCAACTTGAACCAGGTGGTGAAAAGTGGACTGAGTCTGTATGTGTTTTGAAAATTGATCCATTAGAGATTGCTGATGGATTGGATGTTGAATTTGAGAGATAAAAGGTAAGTCAAGGACAAGTAAATGGGTAAATGGTGGTTGCCATTACTGAAAACTGAGAGAAGAACATATTTTGTCAAAGAAAAGATCAGGAGTTCTTTTGGATATCTTAAAATTGAAATCCTATTAGACATCCAAGTTGAGTTATCATGTGGGCAAGAGACGAGTATCTGAGAATCACTAACAGATAGGTTGTATTTAATGAGATGGAACTGGAAGAGACCATGTAGGGAAACAGGCCTAATGACTAAGCCCTAGCACTCTGATGTCTAGTATTCAGGAAGAAAGAGTGAGGTCTAGCAAATTGTGAAGGAGTAGCCTTTGAAGTGGAAGCATATCCTTATGTGTGTGGTGTCCTGGAAGTCAAGTAAATGCTTCAAGAGAAGAGGAAGGATCAACTGCCTCAAATGCTGACATGCTTGGTAAGATGAGGGCTGAACAGTGATGATTTGATTTGGCCATATGGAGGTCATTAGTGACCTTGACAAAAGCAGTTTCAGTGGAGTGGTTAGATATAAACTTCATTAGTGTGGTTCCAAGAAAGAGTGAGAAGTGAAGAAATGGGAGGGGACAAGTTTAGTTTGTTTCAGGAAATTTTGTTCCAAAGTGGACCAGAAAAGTAGAGTTATAATTGAAGGGAGAGGTGGTAATGTAAAGGAAGGTTGTGCGTTTTTAGGATTTTGTGTTGTTGGTTTTGTTTTCCTGATTATTTTAAAAATTTCTTGTTGATACATAATATTTGTACATATTTATGGCATGCATGTGATACTTTGATAGTTGCAAAGAATGTATAATTACCAGATAGATAGATGACAGATATTACAGCAAATATAATACAGCATTTTGTATGCTTATGGGAATACCCAGTAGAAAGGTAAAGAAAACTTGATGTGTGGAGTAGGGTGAGAATTTCTAGACCAATGTCTTTGGATAGTCTACAGAAAATGGGATGCAGTGCACAGGTGAAGGACTTAAATTTAGTTAGGAGCTTATTCATTGGAAAAGGAGGAAAAGCATGTCTGTAGGCACAAGAATAAATAGGTTGGTAGATTTGGTGTCAGATGTTGACATTGCCCATTTTTTTTTACTGAAATAAGAAATGAGGTCAGCAGAAAATGAAAGAAGGCTGGGGATTCAAGGTTTGAAGGAGGAAAAAGAGTAGGGGAGCAAATTGTCTAAATACATGATTTTGGGGCAGAGTTGAAAATGTATTTCAGATAATATACTGCTTGGTTGTGGGTTTTTCTTCATCTACATGCAATTGCTTGGGTGAAGGTGTAGGGTAAATGAAAGGTTGGAAGCAACCAGAGTCAACATTTTCCCAGGCAAATATGGTAGAGGGAAAGAACACATAGGAATGATTACGACCATGGAATCCAAGCTTTATAGGGAAAGATGTCACGATTTGATGAAGATTGTGCACAGTAAAAATGTGATAGGAATGGACTAGAGGTCTCATTGGATGGAATAATTATTGGAGAGGTGTATTTGTATGAGCGCACTGAAAAGGTAGGAGGTGGTGTCATAAAGTAGGATAATGTGAATTGTATTTTTTAAAGGTACAACAGGTATAACTGTAGATGGCTGAGGTAGGGCAGAGCATAAGCTTACTGGAGGTAAGGAGATAGAGGAACTGAACAGTATTAACACAGATAAAAAACTCGACTCTCTCCTTTTTCCCTCCTTTTCCCCTTCACCTCCTCCTCTCCTCTCCCTCCAGTCTGCGACTGTGGACAAAAAATTATTAAGCCTTCTGCCTGATGCAGAGAAAAATAAAGTCTCAGAAAAGATTATTCTCAAGTTTCCTTTGTTCAATTCAGGTATGTATATTTTTAAAAGTAATAAATTCTTAGGTTTTAAGGGACAAGTAACAATCACTCAATGGGTTAATTTTTTAAAAGTTATTAGAGCATATATCATATATTAATTACTTTTATATAATATTACAATCTATATTTCTAGTTTAAAAAAATATCTCCTCCATTAAATCTTATTCTTCACCATGGACCCTGATTATTATAGCATTTGTACAATTGCATTAGTGCTATGTAAAGAATGGACCGTTGTGTATAGTGTTCTAGCTAGTGCCCTACTCTACTGATACAACATAGATAGCTATGTAAGTGCTAATGTTTGTGGAAAGAAAATAATATTTTTGTAAAATTTAATCCAAGTAAGACATTGGTCATATGAAATAATCCAGTAGAATATGGTAAAGTACAAATGTAGACTTGTTTTGTATTTGTTCTCTTTTTAATAGAAACACATATTGAATTTTGCTGTCATTTAAAAAGAGGAAATGTTGAACATGGTGATGGTCCTGCTTATGAATATGTGAAATTCATTTTGAATGTAAAACATATTTGTAATGGTAAGCAATTCTGTTTATATTATCTATATGACATTCATGAGTTATGTAGCCCCTCATTACTAACATAAATGCTCTTCTGCTTGGCAGTTGCAAACTGTCTGATATCCCTATGACCACAGTTTCTGACTACTCACATGAATTATACTTTACAAAGTTAACAGTGAAATATACAAGGTGGGGATCATACCAAATCATGATACACTGAGTTAAGGATGGCTCTTTCTTTTTATAAAACAAAGAAATGATTGTAAAAATATGACAAAAGACATTTAATGCATATCCAAGCTGAAAATAAAGAGGACTCTATCTGTACCAGAAAGCAAAGTTCAAAGCAGTATAAAAATGGTAAGAAGAAGCTGATTTTGTGATGGCCTCGGTGGATTTTAAGTCATGCATAGGCTCCATTGGCTGGGGTCTGGAATTCTAACACCCAGTCAAGCACCAGTATATAAAACCTAGAGATCAATAAAGTTCAATAAAGTTCTGGTCATTGGCCTAGAGGAATAATAAGTAGGTTTATCATCTCTCTGGGAATTTGAATGGACTAAAATGTGCCATTTGCAGGAAACAAAAACCAAAATTTTTGTTGTGTGTGGACATAGGGTCCATTTTATAAATTTTGAGGTTTCAGAACCTGCAAGCTGAGAAATTAACATAAATTAGGTAACATTAACTGGTTTGGAGCCATTAAAACATCCGGGACTTGAATCAGAGGTAAATAACCCAAATAGCTAACAAATATATGAAAAGATACTCAAACTCACTAATAAGCCAAGAACGAAACATTTAAAAACCAGTGACATTAGCACTCTACACCCATCAGAATGGGAAAAATTAGAAGTGTGAATAATACCAAATATTGGTGAAGATGTGAAAAATGAATAAATAAGTTAAGTCATGCAAAAGCTGGCTGATACATTTGTCACGATTCTTGGAAATCAATGGTCACACCTTTTGAAAAAAATCTTACTTGACTATATATGCAAGATTACACATACTCTCCCTCTTTCTCTCTCTCTCTCTTTTTCTTTTTTTGGGACGGAGTTTCGCTGTTGTTACCCAGACTGGAGTGCAATGGCACGATCTCGGCTCACCGTAACCTCCGCCTCCTGGGTTCAAGCAATTCTCCTGCCTCAGCCTCCCGAGTAGCTGGGACTACAGGCATGCACCACCATGCCCAGCTAATTTTTGTATTTTTAGTAGAGATGGGGTTTCACCTTGTTGACCAGGATGGTCTCGATCTCTTGACCTCGTGATCCACCTGCCTTGGCCTCCCAAAGTGCTGGGATTATAGGCGTCAGCTACTGCGCCCGGCCGCTCTCTCTCTCTTTCTACCCATGTGATCTATATAAAAGAGAGGAGCCACATTTCTTTTGGAGACTAAAATGTCCATTCACAGGGTAATAACAAAAGACTGAAAACTAACCTGAAGTCTCAACATTTGATTTTCAGTAATGACTTCTTTATGTTTAGGTGGGGAGGATGGCTGAAAAGGAAAGAAGACAGGAAAAATCCCATGCCTCAGAATCCTGAAAATAGTCAATGGGTTAGCAAACAGTACATGGACGTGGCAGGTGTTTGTCTTCTTAACTGACCCACCTTTCTGTTGTCACATGTGTGTCTATCTTCCTTAGAGTCTGCTGTGTTCTTTAGTAGTTTCTGTTCCAGCCGCCGCTATGCTGCCTTGTCTGCTAAACATATTACTTGGGAGGATCAGTTTTATCTTATGGGAATTGTTTGTGTTCTCAGGACTCAGCTCCTGAAGGTGAGTACACTGTGTTTGTGCTTTCCCATTGTGGCAATGGGGGCTTTCTTTGAAGGGTCATTTCTCTTTTCACCTCTCAGCAACTGGACAACCTTGCTAAATTACTCTGTGTGCAGAGGGTCGTGCTAGGATATGTTAATAAGGAAAATCAGTGCCTATGTTTCAGAAGGTGAACATCTCAGTGAAAATTTAGACACAGTTGAACGAGATACACAATCATTTACAAGGATTCTTGATATAATACAAAATATTATAAAATGTAGGTGCTGGGGACTGGGACACATTAAGAGAAATGAGCATTTTGGCAGGTAGATAAAGGAAGGCTTCTGATGCCAGGTGAGTTTTGAGGTAGCTCCACCACAGCCCCATTGGGTAGCTGATTGTAAAGGCTTTTGCTCACTTTGTGTTCTGTAACATGGCATTCACAAATTCTAGCTCTAAAAAGAATTCACTTTGGAATTCATCTGATAGATTTAGCTTCCAGTAATTTATCCATTCAGTAACATATTTAGTAAGCACCTACTGTGTTCCAGGTACTGTGCTAGGTGCCAGGGAGATATTAGGGGAAATAGGCAATAGCTAAGTAATATTGGAAAGTGCCATGGAGGATGACAGAATAGTGTGCTAGTGACTGGTAGTGGTGGGGAGTTCAGAGAGAGTGGTCAGGAAAGGTCTTTTTCGGATAATTTGTCTTTTGAGTGGAGACCCCTTGGGATGCTAAGAAAGGAGATAACACAGATAGAGGGTTCAACATTTGTAAAAGACCTGAGGTAGTAACTGGCTTAGAGAGTTCCCAGGAACAAAGTAAGTTATGTGAGCAGAATAAGGGGAAAGAGGGAAGGAGCAGCAGAAAATAAGCTCCAAGAGGTAGACAGGGGACATATGATGTAGAACTTTGAGATCCATGATAATCAGTTTGGGTTTTATTCCAAGTGCGTTGGAAAGCAGGAAGGTGACATGATCTGATTTTCTTCTCTTATTTTTCTTTTGAGACGGAGTCTTGCTCTGTTGCCCAGACTAGAGTGCAGTGGCATGATCTTGCCTCTGCCTCCTGGGTTAAAGTGATTCTTCCGCCTCAGCCTCCCCAGTAGCTGGGATTATAGGCACCCACTACCGCATGCAGCTAATTTTTGTATTTTTAGTAGAGACGAGATTTCACCATGTTGGCCAGGCTGGTCTTGAACTCCTGACCTCGTGATCCACCCACCTCAGCCTCCCAAAGTGGATTACAGGGGTGAGCTACCATGCCCAGACCTGATTTTCTTTTTTAAAGGTCAGGCTGAATACTTGGTGGGAAATGGAGTATAGAGAAACAAGAATGGTGGAAGGAAGAGGACCTGAGTGAAAGATGATAGGGGCTTGGACTATGATTGTAGTAATGTAGATAAAAGTATGCTGATTTGGGGTATATTATGGAGACAAAGCCCTTGCTGATGAGTTAGAAGTGTCTGGTAGAAGGGAGAGAAACATCTCATGGAGGACTCTTAGCTTTTTGGCTTGTGGAACTCAGCAAATGGAGGTGGCATTAACAGATTTGAACAAGATTGGGACAATGTGGATCAGGCAGTGTGGGAGGTTAAAATCAAGAGCACTGTTTGGGCCATGTTAATATTGTGTTAACATTACAACATAAAACCTTGGCCAAGTCACATCCTTTAGCCTCAGTTTCTTTTTCTATAAACGGCACCCATAGTACCTCCTATTAGGGCTGTAAGGAATAAATAAGATGGTTTCTCATATATGGTGAGCACTCAGTATAAATGTGAGCTATTACAGTTGTCATGATCACTGTTATTACTGTCATTATTGCTGCCAGTTATCCAGAGAAGGCAACCTACTTGCTTTACTTTTCATCTCTGGTTTAAAATGTGGGCTCTCCAGATCACATTTTAGAAACTATGGAGGGCGCCTTTACATTCAATTTTAGAGCAATTCATATCATAATTTCTTCAAATTTAAGATGGTAAGAAAAGCAGTGTAGAAGAAAGACAGTTGAGAGAAGTTGTCTAATTGGATTGCCTCATTCATTTTTCCTTCCTTGTAGCCCTCTTGGATTTGACTGTCATGTCTGCCATGAGAATACAGACATCCCATTTTGGAAGTCATCCCCAATACCTACCTCCTTGTCTGAGAAAGAGAAAATATCTGATTTGGTCCAATACCCTGGTTACCCTTACAGCACAAGGAACTCTATTTGTGATCTAGTCCAGTTTATCTCTAGGTTGATAGGATGTTTGTTGCATATTAGTGGACACTTTGGAGAAAAAATCTTGTGTGAACAGAGGGCTTTGGAAGGAAGATTTTTTTCATAGTGTGACTGTGTAGTACAGTAGAACAGTGATGAATTACAGTTCAAACTTTGAAATTCTGCTTCTGGATCTACTAGCTGTATTTCTTGGGTCAATTTTTTTACCTCCATAATTATCAGTTTTCAAATCTGTAAAACTCCAGTGCATTTCTCACATTGACATGCAGATTATTTGTAATATTGGACATGAGCATGCCTCCAAAATTAATATATGCTATGCATTTTTACTAATACGTATGTTAAGTATCTAAATATTTGAATTTTTCTGCAGAGACTTTACACTCGAAGCAAAGTCACTGACAAATTTATACTTACGCAAGAATCAGATGAGGAATCTTTTGTGAAAGATCTCAGGTGAGCAGTAGTGTTGATACAGGTAGCTAAAATCTAGAATACAATTTTACTAAATGAAACTAAAACAAGAGAAATGATACCTACAGATACTTTTTTCCCATCAAAATGAAAATAAAAAGAAAAAAGAAACAAATGGGCCAGCGATGGTGGCTCATGCCTGTAGTCCCAGAACTTTGGGAGGCTGAGGCAGGAGGAACCCTTGAGCCCAGGAGTTTGAGACCAGCTTCAGCAACATAGTGAGACCCGTTTCTACAAAATAATAATAATAATAATTTTTAAAAAATAGCCAAGCATGGTGGCATGTGCCTGTCGTCCTAGCTACTTGGGAGACTGATGTGGGAGGATCACTTGAGCCCGGGAGATCAAGTCTATAATGAGCAACGATCATGCCACTGCACTCAAGCCTGGGCAATAGAGTGAGACCCTGTCTCTTAATAAATACATAAATAGGTGAAACCAGAATGGCAGTCTACTAGTCTGAACTTCCTTTCTCAGCTAATATAATTCACATGTTTTTCCAACATAATATAGATACAGATGATTGGCTTTTTTTTTAAAAAAGCATTAAAGCAACAAATACAGAAAACTTATCTGACTCAGACATGTAATGACTTTCAAATTAAGGTAATGCATCTTAATATACTTGTTTATTATTTTTTCTTGAAAATAAAGGTAATGTTTAGACACTTTTAAATGGTAGAAGAGCAAGTATGCATTGTGGTAACTACTAATTATATAGGCATCCCTCTTTTGTGAATCTAGTATGTTCTGTAAAATTTGTTTGCTGACACATTTTCAGAGAATAGAAGCCAATATTCCACTATTTTGTGTGAGAAAAGTAAAAATATATTCTTAACCATCAGGAAAATGCTGATTAATTTGCCAAATACCACTAAAACCCCTTTATAAACTTATTTAACAGCCCACAAAGGATTTCTGTAAAATGTAAATTATTTATAATAGTATATAGTTATTCACCATTTGATAAACTCATTGGTACGTACATTTGTATGAAGTAAGCCACAATACAATACACTATTGTCTGGTGTTAAATATATTAAAGGTGTGCACTGTAGGTCAGTAATACTTAGTAAAATAAAATAAGAAAACAAGGGAACTTTGCAAGAGGTTTCTTGGGATCAAAGGCACGCTTGTATGAGTTTTGGTGGTGAGAAAAGTGAGCTGGAAGCTGAGGTCACTGTTATTATTTGGGAGCAGGAGGAGGTAAGGAAGCCAGAGTTGGTGAAGGAATGAGTTAAACAGGAAACATCTGAGGCTCATCTGGATTTAGGAGAAGGCAGGGAGAATCTTCCCTTCCCATCAGAAGAGTACAGAGGTGATTGGCTGTCAACCATTGTCTGGTGCCACACACAGAACAATGGGATGAGAAACAGAACTCATGGTGGCTAGCTATTTGCATCCTTTTCGCATGATTAAAAACTTGCTAACATAGAGCTGCATTTGTGTTAATAAGTGTGTGTTGAATATGACAACGTGACATGTCTGCTCATGCCATAATCACATTTGTTTGTACTAGCATGCTTCTTTTGTGGAATCTAATTTTTTTATGAATCTTCAGTATTTTATTTTTGGTTTCTAGGAGTGGGGAGCACATGCATGACCAAGCTTAAGACTTCTAGCCGGTCAACCCTCTGAATGTGCTTCATCGCTCCCTGCTTTTCTTGTAGTACATGGACTTCAATAGGTCTGTTAGTCCTGCCCATTTCCTTTATTAGTTTCTCTACTTTCTTAGAAGAAATTTGGAGAGTAAGATAGCTGCAAGACAACATGTTTAAACAACATGAACTCGAGACACTATGCCGTAAGGAGAATGACTGAGACACAGTAACAGCACACTGGCATGCTCTTGTCTAGGCATGCATGACTTAAACATATTCTTGCATGTGCCCTAAAACAGATTTATTTAGCAGGTTTGGGTAATGAATTTTGTTTAAAAATTAGCATATCAGCATAGCAAATATTCAGATAGTGAGAGTTCAGAGAACAAAGATACCTGTATTTTTATTTAAAGGTAGAGTTGAATTGGATGAAAAATATTGCGATGCAGCAAGGAGCCAGCTACCACATCTACGCCATGATCTTCATAACATATATAAAAGTGTTTTCTGAAGGCTTAAAATTATATCTTTTCTAATATTGTAAGAAATTAAGACTCAAATGTAGGTGAATGTACACTCTTTCCCCTAAAGTTCAAAAGTAGACAATGGATTTTTTATCATGTAGGAAGTAAGGTAGAAGAGTGACACTTAAGGAAAAAAGCGGATGCATTTAATGAAGAAGAATCTGATTAACTCCAGACTACTCGTCCCTCTCATATCGCTCCCTCCTCCAACTCCATGGTCACTACTCTGGCCCCAATCTCTTCAGCTCTCACGTGATAGATTGTTGGTGGACCTGGCTGACCCACTAACCTGAGCTCTGTAAGGCAGGACCTGTCACCCTCATCCCTGTCCAGTACAGAGCCTGATAATAAGTAGACAGAAGTGACATCTGCTTATTAACTGATTGATTATTTGATCTAATCAAATTAGTAATACATTCCAGGCCATGAGATCTCTCAAACATTGTGCAGTATTGTTAGAAAGCAGTGCAAACCAGTACCCTATTGTTTGATTTTTTTCATAGATTTGTCCCTTGTCCCCATGATATTTTAAATTAAAAAGAAGAGATCGCATCATATCAGGGTTGTAATTTTTAGTTACTAATAGTCTGGGTCCCATTTTACCCCCTGGGAGATGGTTAGAAAACCAGTCATTAGGTCATAGGGACCTACAGCTCCAAAATGTTTTCCTTATCTTGGTAATTCCATTATTTTAAGATTAGGAAGCATCTTGCTAAGAGGCTTGAAAGTTTTGTCTATGCTTATGAAGGAAACACAAAGATGGGAATTTGAAGTGTTTATAATAAAGGGTGTATTTCCACATAGAATGTCCTGTTTGTGCATGTTTAACATTTGAGGCTTAAAAATATTTCATTCCAGGAGAAGGACTGAATAGCAGGGATATTTTTTTTTTTACTGAGGCTACAGGTATATTGGAGTAGAAAAGCTTGCTTTCCTGGACCATTGAAGGTAGAAAGAAGTAAGGGATTTATGAGTCAGTGAGGGGCAAGCAAAGTAGTGAATACTGAGTAGCCCTCTGCTGTCTTGCTACTGCTAGAGTTAGAAGTAAGCAACTAAATTACTCTTTGGATGTTCCCAGTTGTATGTAGTGGTAAGGCCCGAATTCCTATCATAGCATCATCTTTTAACACAGTGCATTTTGTACTTTATACTTCATGATGTTATTTTATGTTTATTAATTTAGTTATTTTCTACATATCTACGAGGTAGATTTTAGACTCATTGTACAGGTGACAAAGTACACTCGCAGAGGATGTATAATTCGCCCAAACTCACACAGCTGGTTAGGCAGTAGAGCTGTATTTAGGACTTAAATTACCCTGGGCTCCATTCCGTGAGGACACCAGTTTCAGGAGCTGTGGCCAGTACATGATTCAAGGGAGAAAACTCAAGGCGTCTTTGGGAAGTACATGACCAGGGATGTTACAAAGAGAAAACATGTTCGTTTTAATTTCACCTTAGACTTAGAGGGAGGAGACTATACCAATTAGTTGGCCCTAATACTTTTTACAAAGATGGCACTTTTTCACCCAAGCGTAAAGTAGAGAACACTGGAAAATCAAATGGCAAGTATTTCCCAGGTTCCAGTAGCTCTTACCTGTGCTTGCAAAGTCCTTAGAAACTCTGCTACAGGACTGGAATTGGTCCCTGAGGAGACTCCATCTGTCAGCAGCTCCACCAAAAAGAATGTTCCTGCCTAATTCCTCTTTCAGTGAAGACACACCTTTTACAAAGGTGTGGGGAAAATTTTGCAAAGATGTACAATGGTCCTAATTAGTGAGTTTTTCCAAATTGTATCACTTAATTTTCAAAAAGGAGGAGGAAGATCAAAGAATATTTGCCAGTTGTAGTTACAAGAAAAGAACACCTAATTCTACAAAGAAAAGTACCACTGTCTCATTATGTAAAATCTTAAAACGTTAGTCTTAAATTGAGCCCTTCATGTTTCTTCTCTTTCTTCATTTTAAATCTTTTGGAAAAAGAAAGTTGTGCTTGTATCTGTTCCTAACCAAAGGCCAGCAGTGGATATGGCTGTAACCCCTCTGTTACATGTTATATCCCATATCCTGAGCCTAAATTCATTATTTATATGAACAAACTAGTTAGAGATGAAATATTCCCTAATGGGTTTTCTTTAAATTGTGAGTTTTGTTTGTTTTTTAGACAAGTCTTGCTCTGTCGTCTAGGCTGGAGGGAGTGCATTGGCATGATAGCATGATCACAACTCACTGCAGCCTTGACCTCCCTGGCTCAAGCAATCCTCCCAGTTCACTTCAGCCTCCTGAATAGCTGCGACCACTGGCATGCACGAACACACCTGACTCATTTTTATTTTTTGTAGAGATGGGATCTCACTGTGTTGTCCTGGCTGGTCTCAAACTCCTGGGCTTAGTGATCCTGTGATCCTCCCAGCATGGCCTCCCTAAGTGCCTGTGACTTTTATATTCTACCTCAATTATTTGCCATTTATATTGACGTATGGAGAGGCATGAAATATACATTCACTGAAGAATTTGGAAAATACCTTTATTTATATTATTGATATTTAAGTCGGTGGACTTGAAAACATATTTGCTTCACAATGTATTATTATCAAAGTCAGGGTTTTGTCCAGTAAAACTTACTGCATCTTTTAATACAGCACTGTCCAGTAGAACTTTCTGTGATGATTGCTGTGGTCTATAATCTGCTTCATCCAACACAGTAGCCACTAGCCAGAGAGCACTTGAAATGTGTTCACTGTGACTGAAAAACTAAATTTTAAATTGCATTTAATTTAAATTAACTTAAATTTGAATTTAGCAACATGTGGCTGGTGACTGCCATATTGGACAATGTAGCAAGCAATACATTCACATGTTGTTTATCTCAGCTATAAAGTTACTCAGTATTTAGAAGCCAAAACAAAGGTATTAGACTGCTTTTAAGGAACAGATAGAAGTCCCAACTTGTCCATTAAAATAATGTTGTCAATCCAAGCAGACTTGGGATGAAAGATATGAAAACATTTTGATTGAATTGACTGCTAAGTTTTATTTGTTTTTTCCTTTATTTAGAAAATATCCATTAAGCCCATAGTAATTGTTCTGCATTGTGTGAAGTGCCTGGGGTACAAGAAGTTTAAAGCATGTTCATTGCCTTGAAGAAATTCACTAGGTAGACAAGGTAGACAGAAAGTAGTAAGAAACACTCGCATAAGGCAGAAGAGAGTTGAGAAAGAGGAAATAATCTAAGATGACTTGCAGATTTCAGTCTTGAGTGACTAGGTGGAGGGTGGCACTATTCACCAGGTAGGAGACACTGGAGGGGGAACAGGAGTCTACACCATGTTGAATTGAGGTTAGATATCCACATGCATGTGCTGAAGGCAGTTGGATATGTGTGTCTACAGCTTGGAAAGAGGTCATGAGGTAGAGCTGTGGGAGTCACCTGTAGTTGAAGCCAAGGGGTACGATATGGTCTGCAAGGCAGATAATATAAAGAAATAACAGAACTCCAAGAACAGCCCTGAAGAGGTACCAGCATTTATAATGTGAGAAAACATTCTATTAGACTAAATTGGCTTATAAATTTAATCAGAGATTGAAAAATTATTTTAAAAATATATAATAATATAGGAATTTTATTTTAAAATAGTATGTGGGCAAATTTACAAGTGACTCCACTTGTTTGTTTCATGACACTGAAAATCAAATCAGTAAGAAACATTTTATATATTTTATATTTAATTTTTAATTAAATTATTCATTGATAGTAACAATATAAAATATTTAATTAAATATTTAACATATATTTAATTTATATATATTTTATATATTTTAAACATTCCATATTTAATATTTTAGAGTCCAATTATACACACAAATGACTGAGTTAACTCATTAACTAGGTGTTTTATGCTGTGTAAATCAATACTTCCTAAATATTACACATTTCAGATATCCAAAATGAATTTTTTCAAGCTCTTAATATTTTACTGTTTGATATAAATTTTGTGAATAAATTGATTTTGTCTGGGTCCTGTGAAATATAGAATAGAAAAATTTCTCTCCATTGGATCAGAATTCACTTTTTGAAACCATGTGGAATAACCCAGTTTTTCTCTTAATTGTGTGTCTTCTGAATATTCTTGGAAAGTTTCATAGATATCATTTGCTACTGTCTTGCTGCTCTGAGGTCTTGTTCATTTTTATAATATTTATTATCAGACTTTAATTTCTCATTTTGTGGAGTAATAGGGGTTTTTCAAAAGAAAAACTTGTGAAAAAAATACATTTCAATAACGATCTCAGCTATGAAATTTTTAAGGCTTGAAACACTATTGTCAATATTAAAAATAAGATCATCATTCATTCATATTTCTTCCTCCCATACTTAATTGGTGAAAAGTAAGCTAGTATTTAGACTCTAGTGTGCCATGAAGCTGCATCTCACCTTGGGCATCGAAATTCTAATTTTGATAGAAATGAATTGTTAATGAACCCCGAGAATTGAGAGTTTCTGTAATTACAGAAAACAAAATTAAATTGGGCCTAAAGGCATTTTTTGGTAATTGCAGTTGGTTTAAAAATTGAGAAAGAATAGTCACTCACACACCTTGGCTTTTAAAAAAATCTTGCTTTGCTCCCCACTTTTAAAAAGAGGCATTGTAGGGGGGAAATAGGGGAGGGACAGCGGGGGGTAGGGAGTTGGGGAGAGATAGCATGGGGAGAAATGCCAGATGTAAGTGATGGGGAGGAAGGCAGCACATCACACTGCCATGTGTGTACCTATGCAACAATCTTGCATGTTCTTCACATGTACACCAAAACCTAAAATGCAAAAAAAAAAAAAAAAAAAAAAAGAGGCATTGAGACCTGCAGCAAACTTCATTCTAATGAGGGTCCAGATGATTTTTTTTCTGTAGATGTGAAGAACAACTTTGTGGGAAAAATGATGCCTCAAAGATTGATAATGTTGTGTAATAGGGAAAATAAAATAAAGTTTTTATTTGAACCTTTTTATTGTATGATAGAAAATTTTGATTTAAATGGCAAGTGAGATATGCTTACCATCTCTCTTTTTACCTATTTATAGTGGATCTCAAGATGAAGGAGGACATACTAGCATGGAAGTTGTTTGTGCTGAACCTGCTGCTGCTGCTGCTGCTGCTGCTACCTTAGATGTATGTACATTGAGGGCCATAGACTAAAATCTTGGCCCTTTATCCATGTGATGTTGATTATTTAGTCAATATGTGTTGCCAAGAAGTATGTCATAAGGATGTGACACCTGAGCAGTGTTTCACAGTTCCCATCTTGCAGACATTTCTTATTAGGAGCCAGTAACTTCCGCATATGGAATGGTCTGTGTAGTAGCTTGAAAAAGAATTAAGCTAAGCTCCATCCCAGATGTTGTTCAGGGTCTTTTTGTCTTGTGAGTACATTTCATAATGAAAGTTTACTGACCTGCCTGGTGTAGAAGGGCATGTCAGTAGACCCATCAGACTATATCATACCATCAAGGGGAGAACCCAGTGCCTAATTAGCCTAGGTTGTCCCCGTCTGTTCTCTCAGACAATCCATGTATCATCCATTTTTTCATTAATCAGATATTACTAGAAAGAACCCTTAGGGTATATACATTAATAGAAATCTAAAACCTGGGTCTACCCTCAGTGATCTGATGAACCTCTAGACTGGGAAATAAAATCAAACTACAAGAAGAACAGAGGTATACCAGAAGGCATTTCCCAGGTTAAAAAGTGACAGGGTGGTTCTTCACCTTACCTGCCACTCCATGCGTTCATGTACTACAACTGGTAGGCTGGATCACCACAGTGGTATCAGTGCTACAGAGAGAAAACATGGTTGAGACATGAGAAGACAAGGGTTTGATTCCTGATTCTGTCACTTCCCAGTTATGTGGCCTGGAGAGTTATTTTATCTCTGACAGCCTCAGTTTCCTCATCTGTAAAATGGAAGTCATAATAATCATCTCTGCTAGACTACATCATAGGGATATAATAATGCTCAAAGGAATCTTAGGATATTTTTTGTACTCCTGTAATAGAATGAAACCTCTGTGAGAGGAGAGACCATTGGCCGTCTTATTGGTCAGCATATCCCCAGTATTTTGAACAAGGCTTATTACACATACTAGGCACTCATAAATATTAGATGCGCAAATGAGTTCTCTGTTAAAGCACTCTGTTATTTTTATATAACTCTTCAAATGTTTGGTAAAGGGATTTCAAGAGCAGTACAGACAGGCTGCATGCATAGACTCTAACTTTGGTTTTCAGACCTCCATGTGTTTTGCCTCAATGGATTTGTACTGGGATCAGTGCAGACAGCAGAGTTTTCAGTATTTAAGTTCTCCTATAACATGGAGATGTCGTGAGCACATATTTTAAATATGAAGCGCTGATTTTATATTGAATTTTCCAAGTATTGCTCATTTAACAAAGTATATATAGGTAAATAAAACTTTCTCCATTCTGAAAAAGTATCTCTGCTTAACCTGATACTCTGTTCAAAGAAATATGAAACAAAGAGAAAAGTAGGTAGAAGAAGGCTAATTTAGACAGAGCAATGTCCTGTTTACACACAAACTAATTACAGGCATTAGTTTGTGTGTAACAGCCAGTCAGTAAATAAATATTTACCCAGGGTTTATACTATACAGTGTGTGAAGAATCCAGCGTCCTTAAACTTAGTATGTGTTGAAGAAAGCTGGATTAAAATATTCTCATTTTACAAAACATATAATGTCTACATAATTATTTAAAGAAAAGTGTTTCAAAAAAAAAAAGAAAAGAAAAGAAACACGTAATGCCACTGCAGTGGCACAGCTGCTCTTTAATTTTGCTTATTCCCATTCAGTCTTGGTCCACCAACGTATATATTTCTCATGTAGTAATAATGAAAAATATAGCTTACATGCCACTGCATACTCTTGGCTTCCACTTATCACTAAGTTCCATTTTATTCTACATTCACATTGATCATTTTAAAATCTGTATAATATTCCATGAAATTGGGAGACGTCTGCTTCCAGCCAAGATGGAGTTAGGGGGTCGGGTTAACTTGCCTACCTGAAACGGGCAAAAATAAAACAGACGAAATATATGACATAACAGTTTTCATGGTAATGGCCGTCAAGCATCAAAAGCCACGGACTCTTGAGCAATTGGAAATCAATGAGGGGAGCTTCACAGTTATCTCAGCTTACTACATAGCAAGTTTCTAGGCCACATTGCAGAGAAAGAGAACACACATGGAGCCCAGGTGAGAGTATAGGGAGACTAAGTTTGCTAGCAGAGTCCCAGAGAAGAGAGAGCTGCATGGAGAAAGAATGCAGAGATCTGTGAGGGATCCCCTCTAGTATTCAGCAGCATATTGATTGGTATATTCACTTGCAGAAGCTGCTTGAAGTGGGGCTAGGGGAAGAACCATTCCCGAACATTACAGAGAATAATGCTAGCACTCAAAAAGGATTGATAATAGTTCTTGTTCCTACCAGCCATACTGGAAATCCTCATAAAGCACAAGACATTAAGTGAGAGTACACAGAAATGTCTTGAATCAAGTGTGGAGAATAATTAACCCTAGTGATATGGTTTGGATCTGTATCCACCCAAATCTCATGTTGAACTGTAATCCCTAGTGTCGCAGGTAGGGCCTGGTGGGAGGTGATTGGATCATGGGGGTGGAGCTCTCTTTTATTTTTTTTTTTGAGACAGGGTCTTGCTCTGTTGCCCAGGCTAGAGCGCAGTGGCACAATCTCGGCTCACTACAACCTCTGCTTTCCTGCTCCAGGTGATTCTCATGCCTGAGCCTCCCAAATAGCTGGGACTACAGGCCTGTGCCACCATGCACCACTGATTTTGTATTTTTAGTAGAGACAGGGTTTCACCATGTTGGCCAGGCTGGTCTCAAACTCCTGACTTTGGCCTCCCAAAGTATTGGAATTACAGGTGTGAGCCACCGCACCTAGCCAAGGGGGTGGAGTTATCATGAATGGTTTGATGTCATCCCCCCTTGGTACTGTATAGTGAGTTTTCATGAAATCTGGTTGCTTAAAAGTATGTAGCACCTCCCCTACTGTCTTCCTGCTGCAGTCGTGTAAGAAGCCTGCTCCCACTTTGCCTTCCCACATGAGTAAAAGCTCCCTGAGGCCTCTCCCGAAGCAGATGCTGCCATGTTTCCTGTAGAGATTGTGAAACTGTGAGCCAATTAAGCCTCTTTTCTTTATAAATTACCCATTCTCAGATATTTCTTTGTAGTGGTATAAGAACAGACTAATACACTTAGGCTAAATGTTGCTCTGATGCCCACTAACAAATCAAAAAGGAAAGACTAAAAAGGATCAAACTATTTCCAAAAGTCTTAGTGCATTTTGTGCTGTTATAACAAAGTATCTGCGACTGGGTAATTTATAATGAACAGATATTTATTTCTTACCATTCTAGGGGCTGGGAGTCTAAGGTCAAGGGGCCTGCATCTTGTGAGGGCCTTCTTGCTGCATCATCCCTTGGTGGAAGTTGGAAGGGCAAGAGCACAAGCGTGAGAGAGGGGAAAGGAGGCAAACTTATCCTTTTACCAGGAAGGGATTCCCATGATAATGGCATTCATTGATATATGAGAGCAGAGCCCTCATCATATAATCACCTCTTAAAGATCCCACATCTCAATACTGTTGCACTGGAGGCTAAATTTTCAAAACGTGAACTTTGGGGGACACATTTAAACCATACGATTCTGTCACTGGTTTCCAAAATTTATGTCTTTTCTCACATGCAAAATACATCCCAATAGCCCCCAAAGTCTCAATTCATTCCAACATGAACTTAAAAGTCCAAAATATCTGGGGATGGTGGCTCAATCCTATAATCCCAGCACTTTGGGAGGCCGAGGTGGTTGGATCACAAGGTCAAGAGATCAAGACCATCCTGGCCAACATGGTGAAACCCCATCTCTACTATTAGCTGGGCATGGTGGTGCACACCTGTAGTACCAGCTACTCAGGAGGCTGAGGCAGGAGAATTGCTTGAACTCAGGAGGTGGAGACTGCAATGAGCTGAGATTGTGCCACTGCACTGCAATCTGGTGCCTGGCAACAGAGTGAGACTCTGTCTCAAAAAAAAAAAAGTCCAAAGTCTCATCTAAATCAGATATGGGTGAGACTTAAGACATTGATTTATCATGAAGTAAGCTCCTCTTGTGAACAGCCAGTGAAATTAAGTTATCTGCTTCCAAAATACAATAGTTGGATGGACAGAGATAAACATTCCCATTCTAAAATGGAGAAATAGGCAAGAATTAAGGAGTAACTGGTGCGAAGTGAGTCCAAAACTCAATAGGGAAAAAGTATTTTGTAATTGAAAAATAATAACTGTACGTATTCATGAGGTACATAGTAATGTTTTGATATATATAATATATAGTGATCAGATCAGGGTAATTAGCATATTCATCACCTCTGATGTTCATCATTATAACACTAAGTCTTAAAGCTGGAGAATAGGCCAGGCACAGTGGCTCACGCCTGTAATTCCAGCACTTTGGTAGGTCAAGGCAGACAGATCACGAGGTCAGGAGCAAGGTTGGTCTCCAGCCTGGCCAACATGGTAAAACCCCGTCTCTACTTAAAATACAAAAATTAGCTGAGAGTGGTGACAGGTGCCTATAATTCCAGCTACTCAGGAGGCTGAGGCAGGAGAATTGCTTGAACCCAGGAGGTGGAGGTTGCAGTGAGCTGAGACCATGCCACTGAACTCCAACCTGGGCAACAGAATAAGACTCTGTCTCAAAAAAAAAAAAGCTAGAGAATAATCTTCCTTGACTCCATGCCCCAGGTGGTGGTTGGGTCCCTAAGGCCTTGGGCAGCCTCGTTCAGCCCCTTCCCTATGGCTTTGCCAGCCTCGTCCACCCAGAAGCTCTAACAGGTTGGAGTCTGGGTTGTAGTCTTCTGCCAGCATGCTGGTGACCTCACAGTATTGAGATCTTAGGGGTAGCCCCATTCCCATGACTCCACTAGACATTGCCCTAGTTGGGGCTCTCTGTGGTGGCTTCACCCCTGCAGCAAGTCTGCCTGGGCCCCCAAGCTGTCTGCGATATCCTTTGAAATCTAGGTGGAGGTTGTCACGGCCCTATAGCTCTTGCATGCCACCCTCTGCAGAAT